TAGTCAGACTGCAGCAAAATTGTACATTTTTTCTAAACTTAGAGGACTGAATGCTTGGGTTTTCTCCTGTGTGTTATAAACTTAATTATAGTATAAATCTTTTTCAAGACTTGAACTTGTTGGAGGGAGGCAAGAGGAAAAACCTGACAGATATTCAGTACTTAAACTTTACTTTTTTAAAACTGCATATAGAAGAAAGAGCAGTTCTGTAGGACGATATGGCTTTAAACTGGAATTACCTGGTTCTAGCCTTTGGACAGGATTTGACCTCCCAAAGCAGCTGATTTCATCCCTGCCCTCTGTTATCCCTTTGAGGTCCCAGGGATCTCCCTTGCTGCCTGACAGAAGGCGTCTCTCTGCCTCCTGTCTCATGACAAGAGTGCAGATGTGCATTTTGATAGAGGATGTTTGTGCTTGGGCCAGGGAACAGAAGATGCGTTGTTTTGGTCATGTCACTAGTGATAGCTTAAGGCCACGGAGAGTATTTGAGATTGACATAATCTGCCCCTGTTGCAATGCTGGGCACTTCTTTGAATACCACACCGAGGGACGAGGTGTGTTCTGTGCTCTATAGCTTATGGAGCCTTAAGGCATTTGTACTAATGTGTTTTTTAAATGGGTGCAGGTGCCAACTGCAAGCATCACGGTGGAGGGCAATCCTGCTCTGAACCGGGTGAGATGGACGCATTCTGGGAGAGAGATTGCTGTAGGTGATTCGGAGGGGCAAATAGTTATATACGATGTGGGAGAGGTGCGTATACCATGTCTTGTGCAAAGTACGTCACAAAACAAAATCTTGCTTTTATGTGTTTTCCTCTGCGATGAGAGGAATAAGGTTTAATTTTTATTTTCAAAGGAGTGTTTCCTTTATGCATCTTTTCTGGGTTTTCTGTCATAACTTCTTAGCGTGCTGCCTGGTAGCCAATCAAAAATTTAAAGCATTGTTGTCAGGCTAGGGAAATGAGATGAAAGAATCAATGGTTTTGTTTATAGAAGTTTTATCTTCTTTGTAACTGTGGCACATGTGAATTCTGTCCATAGCTTGAGAAATACTGAACAAAAAATTTTGCAGTGATGCAGTCTTGACTTCATTCCTACAGGATAGCTGTTGCTTTTGCAAGTATGGGTACTACAGTAGTGTGTAACTAACTGATCAGATGAGGATATGGCATAAGTATTCCTCTTTGGAGGCAGTCACTCAGATGGAGATGCAAGCTTGTAGTAGTATCATTACATACTTAAAAACAGGATTCTCAAATTCTGCTTCTTTTATTTAGAGCTTTTGATGTTCAGACTATCTTAAAAGTTACACTAAATAAAGGCAAGCTTTCCTGTCAAACCTCTTCTGAACATTACTAAACGCTCTGCTGTTCAAAATGATTTCAGTTTTTATTTATCAGTCGGTTTAAATAACATTCCCTTTGTCAACAGCAAATTGCCGTTCCTCGCAGCGATGAGTGGACTCGATTTGGTCGAACACTGGCAGAAATAAATGCTAACAGAGCTGACGCAGAAGAGGAAGCTGCAACCCGCATACCGGCATAGATCGTTACAAACAGGCAGCAGTGGTAGACTGAGAATGATTTGATGCAAATCGGAAAAGTGTAAGCATGTGTCAGTTCAAATAGTAGCTTATGGGAGGAATATATGGATTCAGTTATGGACTTTGAAAATGTATTGAGGTCACTGAAAATCAGATCTTGCGTTGTCACTTTTTATATATAAATGACAAGCACATTCTTGGATTTGTGTAACTTTTAATACAGTTAACTGACTTTGCAACGAGCTTCTTTTGCTGAAACACTAACCTGGTGTAAATTTGCTATTGGGCTTCTGAAATTTCCACTTTGTAACAGTATTTCTGAAAAGTAACTTTGGTTTCTAAACTAGACTTTCTATATTACACAGACTAGCCTTCATTAGGTAGTAAAGCTCTGAAGTGTTCTTTGAACTTTTCAAATTACCCATGGATATGCATGCATATGTTCCAAGTAAGTTTCATTGTTTATATATAGAAAAGCCTCAGGCTCTGGCAGTGGGTAATATATGTGAATAAAAATTTGTCTGTAGTTACAAACTTATTTGATAATTGGACCTGAATTAATGAAATACATATTTAATACCAAGTTCTTTTGTTTGAATTGGTGCATTAAAAGGTGAGACTGATTCACAAATAAATATTGTATGAGCACTTGTCAGCTGCCCTGACCCCTAATCTGTGTCCCTTCAGCAGTTTGGGAATACAAAGTTCCTGGGAGCTGCTGTTTCAGTTTACTGCACACATCAGGGAGTTGTTTTCAGCACCCAACCTCCTTTTCCTACCACGGCAATCAGCTAAAAACAAGGCGTCTACTGTTGTGAAATTTTTCCTTTTCCAAAGGATAAGGGACTAGATTTGGACTTATTTCTATAATATGATCATTTGCTACTAATCTTTCATATTAAGTTTTTACCATTTTTGTTGAAACAAAACCTCTCAGTGGCTTGAAACACAAGGGTTGGATTTTCTGTTAAATTTTTTTTGAGTACATCCTTTTTAGGACATTATAAAGTTTGTGTATTTTTTATTAAATATTCTGACTTGTACGTATTAGGCACTAAACCAGCATTGATGCCTTTAACTTAAGACTCTGTGTTTGCTTCTGATAAAAGCTTGTAGCAGATTAAGAATTAATTTTACCAGAATTGGTTTATACACTTAAAAGTAGGAAATAGTTTTATATTCCTTAATCAGCATAATGTCCAGAAGTATTCTTGTTTCTTCATTGTTTGTGGTTTTAGTTTGGGGTTGGTGTTGGTTTTTTTCTATTTCTCTGTGTCTCAGTTCTGTTAGTGCAGCTCACAGAGACACAGGCAGCAGTTACAGCAGTTCTATCTTCAGGCAGTTCTCTTTTTCAGTGGGTTTTGAAAGTATTTATGCTTCTGTCGGTGTTGCCTTGTCAAAAGTTCCCCCCTTCTCTTCAACACAAAGTCATACTGCTCAGTTTGACATTTACCTTGTATGTTTTTCTCAACCTTACGACAGCAGCTATCAGTTCAGTTGAGAAACATGAGGACTATATAAAGAACGGGCATATCATGTGATGATGATTTTTACCCTTTAGGCACAAGAATTCTTAACAAGCAGAATGCTCTGTTGTCTTGCAGGTTTTTGGGGTGTTTTTGGTTTTGATTGCTTCGGCTTTTTTACTAAGATTGTTACTTCTCATTTAATAATACATTTATTTCAGATTCATTTTTTCAGAAATCCAGTAGATAAGGGCATTAGTTTTATGTCATTTCAACCTTTAATAATTTTCAACAGAGCTGTTCTCTATTTATTCCTTTTTCTGTTTCTCCCTCCACAAAATAGTTGAGTACAGGTTAAAAATGTTGTAAAACCCATACCTGCAACATATAGAGACCAACAGTGATGCTAGATTCTGTTCATCCTGGGAGCCACAGTGTCCAGTTTTGGAGCTGTAAGAAATACAAATGCTGTCTTGCGTTGTAATATCTCCTCAGGCCTTGATCAAGTGAGTCAACAAGCTGTGACTAAGATTAAACGCCAGTGGGTACCCACCATTTTTGTATCTATTTAGAAAAGCACAGAACAAAATACATAAATATGGGAGAGATTTCCTGGGAGGCCCATCTCTAGAAAACTGCACAGAACAGGTAATTTTTTTAACAGGGGGGAAAAAAACCCCAAACCACTAATAGACAGAAACACTGCTCATAGGGTTATACATATCCCTATTGCAAAATAGTGATCAAACTCCCAAGTTCAATGTACTGTAGCCTCTAGCTCCCTACACATTTATTCAGCACCAAACAACTTGGCATCTTGTTTAGAGGCTAGAACTGAAGGAGGGCTTGTCTGGTGGTAGTGTTCAGTTTGTAAGAAGCTGTTTCTTCATAAACTGACTAAAATGCTTCATCTTGGCCTGCTGTCACCAGAGCAAAAAAATAACAACCTCAAAAGCCTGTCTACTGCTGGGATACGCTATACTCCAGGGTGTTTAATCCTCAAAGAAATGTGTAAAGCTCCAGATGGGAGGTTGTCACCTCCGGCTGTATGGGTACTATAATTACTTTTCCTCTAGAACTGTAGAAATCTAGACTTCCTTTGACATTTTTACATTTAAAAATTACACCAGATAAACTTTTTGCAGACACTAAGCAAGAAATAGTTTAAGCTTTTTCTTTCTCCTTTCGTTTTACTTAGCATTCCACTCAACTGGAAGTCTAAACAATCAGGATAGCATATAGAAAGAATATAAAAGTGGGTGGGAGGTTTTTTTATTAAAAAAAAAACATTCTGGAAAGGAAGTACTTTGAGTAGTAAATCCTGTAAAAATTCTGGAGTCGTCTGATAACTGGCAAATATCTCATTGTGCTTTAAATATGCTGCCATAGAGTTCTATTACACGTTTAGTATTACCATGTATTTCAGGGGAATTTCGTCTTACAAAGTTGTGCTGCAAAATAAAATGTTGCACGTGCTCATATAATTACTGTGTTCTCTTACAAGCCAGCACACTGTATTTTAATACTTTTGCTGTAACTAGCAGTGAAATGCATTCCTTCAGAGGGTATGTCCTGCACTGTACATTCATTAAATGGGTGCATCTAATCTTTAAATTTTGATCTGTGAGCTATAATCTGTGGAGGAAAAAAAAGAAATATATTCACGCTGGAAGACTCTTCTATAACCACAAAGTGAGCAGACTTAGTGTTTTTAAATATTTTATTGTCATGATTGTTAACAAAACGCCTTCAAAACATTCTGTACATTTCAAACTATTTTGAACTGCAATACCCATTATATAAATGTACGTGTATAGATGCCATGATGTCTCTGTACAAAGATGTACAATATGTACAGTAACATTAAATGCAAGCTGTGCAAGGCAAAGTCTAGGCTACAGATTCATGCCACTGGTTAAAACAAGGCATAAAACCACAGCTTCAATCAGTTCCTTATGTGCAAATAAACAAATAAATGCAGGTATGTATTAATATCAGAGAGGAGTAATTAGATTTGCAAGCTCAGTTCAGCTAGAACAACATGCAGCTGACTGGAACAAAATACAGTACTACTCTTGTGAACTTTTCCCACTGCATCTCTTCGTTAAGTTGAAACATCTTTTCAGGATGGTACTTTTTGTTGAGCTGAGGTGGTGCCAGGAGATTGAAACTTTGGAAGATATAAACCAAACTTATTTTCTATACCAGCAAATGTCGCTGTAGCAAGTCTGTATCCGCCTATATGCTGGGGGTTAACAGGAGGAAGATCTGAAATCCGAGTTTTTGGGGCAGGTTCTGATCCAGAAGGTTTGCTGTTTGAAGAAAGAAAAAGAAGAAACACCTTTCCTTTAAAGTGTTTTTTTAAGCCTGAATAACTTTATGAAATCTAGACTAATACTTAAGGCTTTTGTCTTGAGTATGAAAGACTGTTAACTCTTAAGCTGAGCATTATTTATTCACTTCTATGGTCAAGCAAAGTTGAGTTCACACCACTACTTAATGGGAAATCAAGGCCAAAACTGAAGTTCTGTTTTTGCTGATAGCTTTGTAAATCCCTCTAACGTCCAGTGACATGGGGAAAATGGACAAAATATCTTGCTACAACGGAAATACAGATTTTATGTAGTATATTAAAATAAATATGAGACGGCTCTTTATCTCCTCATCTGTTTTGAAGTAGCATGCAAGTTTCAGTTCCAGAAGGTTGTGGAGATTTTTTTTCATACTGCAAATTTATGTCCTCAGAGTCACCAACTTTAAGTGGTCTCATGCATGAAAAAAAGATTTTATTTTTTTTTAACTTAGCGGGGTTTTGTGCGAGCTAAAAAGCAAGTGTGTGACTTACAGGCCTCCAAAATCTACATAGAGCCATCTCTGCAGAAGTTCATAAGTGACGAGAGTAACACCAAACTGGGGTGAAGATCTGAACACACGAGCTGTTAAATATTACAAATCATAATGTCAAACAAAGAAAATAATTTCTTGGGAGAGATGCTAAACATTTTTTAACAAAATACTACAGTTTTCAGAATCAGACCTTGCGATACTGCACTCGTTTGAGTCTTTCACAAAGTCAGTGTTAATTTGCAGATTTGGGGTCACCTTTAATATTCCGAGTGCTTTTCTCACCTCCAGCTCCTTTCCACAGAGCCGAGGGCCCTTCTTCCCTTAGAATCTTTCTGAAGCAGTCAATAACTCCAGTGTAGGTTGTCTGGCCAGCACGAGCTGCCACTTGCAGTCTTGTCTTGATGACATCAGCAGGGGTTACCAAAGAAGCAGCAGGCACACCTTTTAGAAGAAAACCATGTTTAATTTGCACAAAGAATCTTGTAAAATTTGGAACACTTCTAACTGAAAAATACAGCTGGAAACTTTAATATTTTTTGCAAAGATCAGACATTACCAAAATTGCAAATTTTTATGCTTGATGCTAAGATAAACAGTTGTGCTTGGTGTAATCGTTTTGAGTTTCTTCTAAATTTAAAGTCTATAAAGAAAATAGTGAAGATAAACTATCAACAGCAATCCTCTCAACATCTTCTAGTTGCCTGTCATTAACAGTACTTTCAAAAAGATAAAAGAGGCATTTTTTAAAGTCACAAAAATGCTATATATGTAATAAGATATATCAGTGACGAAAATTAGTTGTAAAGCCTTAGTGCATTTGCTAACATTCTACAACGTATTTCACAAATTATCTACATGATTGATTTTGGAACTTGACTTCTACACATCCATTTTTTTACAGGCGTTCACAAGCAAACTACTACTTAAAACACATATTTTACAGAAATAGGTCGGTATTGCTGTTTGGACTGTTCTGTAGGAGAAAGATGCTGCTTACTTCCATAGACAAGCCATTAAAAGACTGAGGACAAGGAAGGTGTTTTACAAGGCTGCTTAGTACCAACAGCGTGATATTAGCCAGCAGTGATGGAAGAACAAATCTCCACTTCCAAGGCACCACTCTCAGCTTTCTAGTCAAAGGAAAGGAGAAAGTTTTCAGAAATGTACTCCACAGTATGTAACTGTGTTATCCGAGGTATTTCTGAATACTTCTGAATACTGCAAAGATTTCATCCTCCTAAAAAGAACCACTGTCTGACTTAGAATTTAGAAATTGATTTTTACATCTGTTGAACTTTTACAGTTGCTTAATACTGAATTAGAAATTTAACAAGTCACTGATTTGCAGACATGATCATAAATTCTGAAGTGTCGCTGATCATTTCAGGAGGTTTTTAAAGGAAAACAGAAACAATGTAGTTAAGCCTACAAACATACACTAATAGCAACCATATGCACGTTTTCCTCTACAGACAGATACGTTGGGACTGTATTCTTCCCTGCTGTGCATGTGTAACGGGAATAGGTCCAGCAATCGGGCATTTGAAATTTGCAATTCAGAAAGGCACACTATAAAACTGTCCCCCAAGATTTACACACATTTGTAACAGGATTCATCACTTAGTATGAGTGACCCAGAAACACTAATCAAAGAAAAGCTGTGAAGTTTGCAATCTAAAAATGAAAACAGTAAGTCTTTATGTGAGACACAAGTTGAATAATTGTTTTTATATGTGTGTCTGTGAGTCCAGTAAGCTAAATAATTTTCCATTTCTGGCAGCTCTGCACTACTTGAGAATAAAGAGGGCTACAGATCTGTTACTAGTTTCCTAGCTGGTCTCTCCCTTCCCTCTGGCATGGGGAGCATACAACTGGCAAAGAGCAGGTGCAGCCAAGCTCTGTATCAAGTTCAATCTGGGAAACTGCCCTTTACACACAGCTCGTGACTGGTGTATATGCAGCGATTCCTTATGACCGTAACAAGTATCAAAAGATCTGTTCAGCCCAGTGTTGTTTCTAAACTGCACAGATTCCAACGCTGTGTCGTTCAGCATTGAGAGGCTGCAGATACCTGGTTTTCATCTTAGTGATCTAATCCTTGGCTGCGCAGAATCTGACCATCTGTATCCACATTTTTGAATACCCATCACTACAGTTCCTACATCCAAGTATTTTTCTACCACTTGCCATCTAGTAAAAATCATTATTTTATCATATATTTTTGAGAAGCCTGAAAATATTTTAAATTTTGGAGTAGGATACTTTGGCTTCAGCTTCTTTACAAACTACTGACCTATTTTTAGCAATTATATTTGAACAAAGTTTCTTCTCAGTTATTTAAGAATCCAGAACTAGACAAGTAATTTTCTTCTTAGCTCTTATGATCTCTCATTTTATGTTCATCAAAGATTCAAATTAGCCTTCAACTCTGAGAGCACAGTAACAAGTAAAACCCCATTGAGACAGACAGATCAAATTTGACTAGAAGTTGCTGAGCTGCATTACGCTGTTTATCCACATTATGCAAATGTAATTAGCTCTCATCAAAATTACATCGCCTCCCACTAAGGATAACAGTGATCAAATTTAGATTAAATCAGATACAATGGTACAGTATCCTTCCTTTATATGGGACTACTGAATGAATATTAAATATTACTAAAAGAGAAAAAAAATACTTCTAGAAAACATTCTGCAAAATTACCTGCAATGGCTCCAGCTGTAAGGAGATTAAGCCCTCCCACGTGGCCATTTTCATCGGCAAGCATCAGTTTACTATGAGCATAAACAGGAAAGTAGATTGCAGAAAAGGGAATGTCTCTGAGGAAACAGGCTTTGGCACCCTGTCACACAGAAAAGAGACATAATACAAATAAATTTTGTAAATAAGGTTAAAATTGATATCCAGCAAGCAGCCTGTGCCCAGGAAGTACCAATTCTTTTGATCTACCAGGTAAATGACACAGAAAATAAAATGTCTCAGGAAATGGAAGATGCAGGGTTGAACGTCAAAAAAAGAATAAAGCACATCTACAGTAAGTTTCTAGAACGAGGAAGATTCAAGGTTCATGTCTCATTTCAGTAAGTAGCATGTGACATCAATCCTGACATCAGTACCTAGGATAAATACCTTTTATCTATGATGGGTCCAAATGCGATGAAGAAAGTGACAAAGGTCTGTCCTTACGTCTCGCTGAAAACAACCCACAACCATGGAAGCAGCAAGAAAAGTCCTTGCGTGCCATTTCTTCCACCAAACACAAAAGCATTACTAAAATATCAGTGAGGACTGTAAGACCTCATACTGATCTCCACGAATCATCACCTGGTTGACTCAAGAAGCTGCACTGGGAGGTTAGCAAAAACCGCTGCAAAATGGGAGCTGTTTAGTAAGGACAAGATACAGGGAGACGAAACTTGTGGCCTGTGATAATACTGCAAGGAGTAGCTCCTGGCCACTAACCGGCATTAAAGAGTTCCTTAACAGAACTTTGCATTTTGTAAAAACAGTAGAATACTCAAAATGAAACATAACTAATATTTTTCTTTTAGTAACAGCACTCTGTTACCAACTACAATTACTCCTTCTGCAGAAAGCTCAATCAAATAAGCCCTTGTATGTCCGAAAATATCTAATCTGCATACACTGAAAGCATGCGCGTTACGGAAGCACCACTGCTTGCCTAAATACCCAACTGGTGTAATCTGAGGCAGCAGCCTCCACGCAATGGATCTGCCTGAGGGAAGTCACCCAGTTACATTAACAGCACACGTTACAAACCCTGTGTGGCTTAAACAGGCGACATGGTAAAGAGAAACTGGTTCCTTCAATTACTTTCACGCAGATGCTCCATGCTTTAAAATGAGTTCTTGCAGTTAATCACAAATGATAACCCAATTCTAAAGAATAGCAGGATTTTTAGTAAGCTCAGTTGTTTAATTGCTGCAAACAGAAGTGGTAATTTTGTCCCGTGTACCAAAACACTTGTGATCTTTAGGAAATACAATGGTCATGAAACTCACCTACAGAATTCAAAACAAAAGCTTCAGCTCTAAAAGTTAATTTGCACACTTTTATAGTATTATTGCAGGTCTATGGACAAAGCATGTAAAACAATGTTTTGTAAGGGCACAGGTAATGTAACTGCTGAATTTACGTATTACACCTTGCACTGGCAGAAGATACAAAAAGAAATACTCTTCCTTGTTTAAGAAAACTAATAGCTTCTGCTCCATTACCTCCGATCTGTAATGATGGTAGCAAGTATACCTGCAGGGAAGGAATCTGTTGACTCGCATTCTGCTGAAGTACAGTACAGTACGCGGGGTTTTTTAGTGGAATTTATTATTGACAAATCCCACCACTTAACTTCTTAAAAATCTGAGTCCTACTAAACTCCACTACTGTTTCATTGCCATCATATTATTAAGACAAAGAGAATATCCTGCTGCAAAGATAACAATGGAGATAACAGATTCAAAATAAGTGTAAGAAAAACATACAGGGAAAGCTAAAGAAACTTTTCACAAAACCCCACCAAATGAAATGATCAGTGCCAGAAGCCAGCAGGTCTGCAATACAGGACTCCCTGTAGCTTGGCATAAAAGCCCAAAGGATAGAATGGGGGAATATTTTTTTGTATCCCACTGCCATTAATATAGAAGTGAGTTTTCTTCACTTTTCCAGCTGTGGGGCTGCCCTGCAGGAAGAGATTGATTTTAAATTCAAAAGATGTCTTTGTTTTTAACTAGTTTTGTTGCAAGAATGTAAAATTTTAGCATAAAATATAAAACAATGAAGCCACTTAAAGCAGAGATACGTACCTTATAAAGACCAAGAAAGCCTAAATCTTTTATAACAGAGAGGGCACTGACTCTGGGTCCTGTGGTAATTTCTCCTGCTACCTGCAACCGAATCTTTACAATCTCCAGAGGATTAGTGAAGATGACCTGGGAAGCTCCTGCCTGCAAATCCACAGAAAAAGAAAGTAAATTGCGTTACTAGAGCATGTGGTGACAGGTTGAGTTTTCCAAGGTGCTGAGTGCCTTGACTTCACTGCACTGGCTGTTATTCTCATGTAAAAATATACGAGTAATATTTGACAAGGCACCCCCAAATAAGAAATCATGGATTTGTACAAAATCATTTTCTATAGTAATATGTTTATAGTCCACAGAGGTGGATTCAGTTTGTCTCTGCTTTTCTCCTTGACATCACTTTCTAGAAGTCATGTCTGTGTTTAAAAGTCTATCAATTATTAGACAAAATACTGAACTAAAATAATCATTAGATCTGTGCTACTAGAGCATCAAATACATATAAAGAAGATCTTATGTTTATGCAACAATTATCCATCACCAATGTGTAGACATGTTATTTGCATTTAGTGGTGATGTTGCTTAAAAGGTAAATTTGCATTTAATGGTGTAATTTTAAATTATTAGAAAAGGTATTTGGAGTTTTCTTTAGCAGTCTTTAATTGTCTTAGGAGGAGACAAATATAACATTTAAATAGTAAGGGTAACATTTCAAAATACAATATAGATAGAAACAGGAGTCACCTCTGTCTCTGAGCTGAGCATGACAGATTTTACAAGTGAGAAATAAGCAGTGCTGAAGAGAATATCTTGCAGACTTCCTAGCAAGTGTTGCAGAGCTGCTGATTCTGCATTTTAACCAAAGACTTTCAAAGAACTGCTTCAGATCTGAGAAGGACTCAGTCTGACAGTTCAGTTTCAGAAGCATGTAAACGTATTTATAACTACACGTCTAGATTTCTTCCTCGTTTCCTATAGGTACTAACTACCAGTCCCTTAGGGAAAAGTGTGTGGTTCATCACAAACCAACTAAATTTTACTAAGCTTTCTTTCTTCCGCTCCTCCTAAGCCACCTTTTTTAAAACCACTTCCTTAAAATACAGGCAACTTTAAAAACCATTTCTTTCACAACCTAAAAACTCTTAATCCTGATCATTTCTCCAACCCACCAAATTTTAGTGAAGGAAAAAGATGCAGAACATCTGCAGTTCAAGATTTTTTCCACTTCTAAATCGCCTAGGAAATAAATTCTCTTTTTTGATGCTGGTGGTGGGGGTGTGTGAAGTAAAATCAATAGTCTGCTACAGCACCTCCTGGACAGCATGCATGGCATTCTCTGCTAATCTGAGTCAGAATTAACAACACTAATCCTTTCTGCCTACAGCACAATCCTCTCTCCAGCAGCAGACAGAATAAACTTGAGCTCAGCCCTGAAGCATGCCTTAGAAGTTGGTAACTTGAAGTACACTAGACTCGAGACAAAAGAGAAGAACCATCTAAACATTTGGGGAGTATCTATGGGATGGGAGGAACCATTAAAATCTTCACTGACCAAGCATCTCACACTTCACTGAACCTTTACTGAGCACACTGTCATCCTTTTATCGCAAACTCCATTTATTACTTCACACAATATTGGCATCTAAAATCACCATTGTTACAGCTTTACTAATGCACCTTGACCCCAACAGCGGGAGATCAACCCCTGCTTTTGACTAATTATCTCTACTGCAGCGGTTACTGTCTTTACCACTCCCCACTCAAATAATCAGTCCAGGTTGTTAATCTTTGGGTTATTCCCTCATTTCTTCACCTCTCTGAAAGAAAATCAAAGCCTACAGTTTAGCAGACATTTGCTGCAGCCATCAGGAAGATGACTAGAACTCCCAGACCAGCCAAACTGATCCCATCTTCTCTGTTCCTTGGACTTAGTGCATTGTGTTTACTCAGTTACCTGACACCAATCATGTCCGAAGCCATTCTTCAGACTCTCTTCACTTCTCATTCACTTTTCCTTCCCAGCTCACACACACCTACGCACGCAAGATGAAATGGCTGTTCTGCTAGGCAAAGTTCCAATCTAAATAAAATTTGTATCTGGCAAGTTCTGTTAAACAACAACTGATTTTTTTTTGTTCATATTGCATTAAACAGAAAACCACTTTTCCCTACATCATTTTTAATAATAATTTTGGCAGACAAAAACATTAAACAGAATGCTCTTACTACATAATACAATGCACCAGGTAAAAAATTCAAATAACTTTAAATTGAGACCCTAAGCTAGAAATTCACTCCTAGACAATTACCAGCTACCTGCCTATTAAATATGTATTCTTTGTTTACATATATACATGTGAAATTCCATTTTTTATTTTTAATGTTTTAAACTAGCACATCCTGCAGAGCAGTGAAAATAACTCTTCTTATTTGCTTAACACCCAGCACAGAAACACAAATAGGCCAATTCATAAACATTTCTATTTTCTATCCTGAATTCAATCTTCCTGCAATTAACATTCTCCTCTCGTAGGTGCACAACTGCCTACTTTTCTGTTAAAATCAGCAACAGCCCTCTTCCAATACAGAAATTAAAAGTGAAGACTCTAAACACATTTTAATAATTTAGTAGTAATACTAATTATATATATGATGCTACAGATTGCATATAAATAATATAGAATTATAGATTATGCCAATATTAATATTAAAATATGATTTGATGATTGGGTTATTGAGCAAAGTAAAATATAAGGAAAACCCTAACATATGCTTGTGAGTAGAAAACTATTGGAAAAGCTCTTTAATTACATTAACACTTTGAACATTGAGTATTTACACTGTTGACTAAATTTTCAACAGGCAGCTTTCTCAAAAAGAGCTGTACCTGTCAAGATACTTCCTATTATTATCTTATATTATTATCTTGACTTCCCAGTCAAGATGCTTCCTATTAGCAATCCAAGTCTTAACTTTTCATATTGTTACACTTGGAGCTTGGCAAACTTTTCTGCACACCAATGATCTGATTCACGTGAAGAGGAGCACCGAATTCACTGGAGTTGCATGAACACGTTAGGTCCTTAGGGACATCGTAAGCACAGATAAGACAGGCATTGGCTTTAACACAGAACATGTAACACAAGAAAACTCACTTTTTCACTTTTTTTTTTTAAATGAATGCAAAAGTTGTTTTTTTGTTTCAAGTAAATGGTTGCCCATCTATCTGAGGAAGAAGGTGTGAGGCAGAGAATGCTGCCTGGGGAGCAGAGGAAGAGCACTCCCCCAAAGCGGGTGAAGAGGGGAATGACACAAGGGATCTCCAAATAAAAATGAACTGGCAGCGTGCAGGACTGCAATACAAATCTCTGTGCTTCTGTGCAAGTCATTAGCAATCATCATCACTCTTTCAAAATATCTTACTTCAGCTGTCAGCTATCTATGTTAAATACACGTGCACACATAGATACACACAGAGGTATATATTGCAGTCCTTGAATTTCTTTTGGAGAAGGTGCACTAAATCCAGATTCCCCCATAAAAACCTCCCTTCACACAAAAATTACAACAGACACTTTAAAAAAGGTTGACAAATTTGTTTCTGAATGGAGGTTATTCATACACATCAAAAATACCAGTAATAAAAGCTTCTACTTAACCTTAATGTCATGTAAAATAACTCTACAAGGAGCAAATAAAGGAACTAAATCTGACAGCAAAGGTTATGAGAGAAAATATGTAGCTTGAGATCCCACAGCAAATGCCCCATGACATGCCAAAGGCTGAAGGAAATACACAAATGACCCTGCAACATGAGACCTCTTGCCCTTTCCAATTCCACCCGAGAGGCATATGCTACAAAGGGGGAGAGGCCTATTTCAAGCCCTTCCTTCCTTCCTTCCTTTTTGAAGCCACCACATCCTGGACCACAACTATGTCCCATACAAGCAGCTATAATAAGATGTTACTTAAAACAGTCTAGTTTAAAGACATCAAAAGAACTTGCATTTCTTTCTCAAGGCAAAGCTGTCACTGTTCATACACCTACAGTAAGCTTACTGTCTCTTTTACTAAAGAATAAATTTGTCCCTAACTTCACGTCCACAGTTGAGATCAAGATAAAGCAGTAAAGTTTAATTCTGCTTCTAACTGTACCTGTTTCAAGTGTATTAAATGGAGTATCTTCAAGATTTTAAAGGAAAAGCACTAACATAGTTGTATATTTGTTTGTTTGTTAAATAAAAACAGTAATATTTTAAATTATTTTTTCAAAAATAAGTATTTGACATATTCCTATTTGCCTGATAAGCTTATATAATGTTTGTGTGTATGTATGTATAAATGCACATGAAAATCACTTTTACAAATATACCAAAATATTTAATGTTTAAGCATATAAGGGTTTTTAAATCAGTGGTAAATTTGGATTTCTATGTTATGGATATGCAAACACACACACCTCACCCCTAATCATCAACAGATGCATCACCTACACTTCCAAGAAGGGTTCTTAGACCCTTTCTGTCTGGCACCCTACATCCTCTTCCTCCCTGCATCAGGAATCGGAAACTTCTTCCTGATCAAATGGGATTCATCCATGCAAAATACTAAGAACCATGCACACTGCATTGACAGGAAGAATCAGTATTTTTCCAGTGTAACTCAGAGGAATTGCAGCTTAAAATGACAGCATCTTTGCCCACTGTAACAGTACTTATGAATCATTTACATAGCATTAGATGCCTCCCAGCTGAGGATGAACAGTTGCTCTACAGCACCTTGCCCTTCACCATGTACTCACATGCGTCGTGCGTGCAAGTTCCTTTGAGAAGCACTGTCCATATCAGGTATGCGCTCTCTGCTTCCCCGGCTGCTGTCGGATACAGGAAAGCATTGCCGAAGCCTCACTCAGTCCCCCTGCAACTCAAAGCTAATGGTAGCTGAAAACTCCAA